TCACAGAAACCGAGGCAGGGCGTCGTTTCTGATTGGCTGATTCTGTCAATTTCTGTGACGCGTAAGGCCGCCGCAAGGGTACGTTTACCTTTTTCAAGAAACAAAAACACCAGGAGTAAAGATCTATAAACTGCTGATCAATAAACTGCAGATCATTAAATAGCTTGTAAATAAATATCTTATCAGTTAGAAAGCCGATTAGCCAACCTAGTAACAAACTAGTTTCATCAGACCACCTCAAAAATAATTTCAAAAAGAGACCACAACCATTTGATTGATATTGAGAATCAATAGCCAAGTCATTCCATATAGAAACTGTATTGGACCTTGGAATTTTAAGATTTTTTTTAAATCATAACTAAATATAAAACTTAATATTTCATAGCATGTGTTACACCTGCAGTAAAACATGTGCAACCTCAAGCATTTAATTTTTTTTACCCGTTACATCAGGATGTCAGAGTAGAGAACATGAAGCTGAATTTGCCAATAAAGCTGATTCTGATTCTGATTCTGAATTTTAGGAATATGCACCATTTTGGAAGGCTCACAGTCATTATTCATCATACTACACTACATACATTTATATGTTGCTACATACAGTAGAGGATGCTTCAGCCTCATTCAAACATGCACTTTAGTGTTCAGTTTGAGCACAGGCAGGACAGAAATTGATTCATTTGCAATGTTTGTGTTGTCTGCCGACAGCTGCTGGCTGGTGTTAGCTTCAGGACCAAGAGCTGAGATCAGTACCCAAAATCCTTGTTCTATATGTCACTCTCGTTGACGGGATCTCTAGGTGTGCTACGAGTTAATCAGCTCAGGTTATCCATTCTAAATTACCACAGTCAGTAAAATGAGATTTAAATAATTTAAGCAACTTTTTAGTTAAACAAAACACGCATGGCCAACATTTTCTGAGGTTTAAGCTAACACTACACTTAGCATGCAAATAAATGAAAAATTCACATCTTTATACAAATCCATTTCAAAAATTTTATTAACAAATCATTGTGTTTTTTGAGTGAGAGTGGATATGTTATGATTAACAAAGAAGGATTTGAAAGAAAAATGTACCAAAAACGTGTTCTTAAAGAAAATCCAATCTCACCAGCATTTGAATTTGAAAAACAGCTGTGTAATAGTTTCTATTAAGATAAAGTATATTTTATATTAACAGAAACAGCCTGCTGTGACTGATATATTACGTGACTGCAGGTTCAGTTTGTACTTCAACAGAAATAAGTGATTTCAGTGAAATCAGCTAACACTGAAATAAACCATGCCATTAATTGATGTTATAGACTGATGTTTGAGATGTTGCTGGAAATTTTACCCTCAATTTTTCATTTCTGTGCATCTATTTATTTTTCTAGTATGTGACTCTTTGGAGGCTCATTAACAATCACTGATAATGGAATTTAAAAAAAAATAGTTTGCTATAAAGTCATAAAAAGCACATAATCTCTAAAAATAGAAACGCCGCCACTGTTTAAAAAAAACAAACAGCGAGAACAAGCGTGACAGGCGGTGGTAGACCAACTGAATGCAGTAAGTTGCCTAAAATATATATTTTCTAACCACTGTTTTTAACTGAAATCATGTTACTCATGAAATAAACCATGAAGATGAATTCCAGCCACTAATCCACAGCATAAATGTGTGAAAATGGTTAATTCCCCAAACTGGGAGAGTGGCTGTGACCCCCAAACTCTCATATATATATATATATATATATATATAAAATAAGGTGAAGGCACAAGTGGACCCCGTGGTAATAGAAGCTATATATATATATAAATATGAGAGAGAGAGAGAGAGAGAGAGAGATGGAGGGAGACAACCAGAAGGTGGCAGCCGAATCCAGAGAGATGAGCAGGAGATCTGAATCGCACTCTGTCCTAATGGTCAAAAGTACAACTACACACTCGGTTACTCCAGCAAAATCAAACCAACACGGCCTATAAACCAAACTAAGTAATGTTCATCTGAAGTCGGTATATAATTTTTTATTTTTTATTTTAGAACAACTTTAACATGTTAAAGTTCAGCTGTACACACACAGCTTTATCAGTATGACTCACAAGCACACACCTCTTAATTCCTGCAACAGGTTGAACTGGTGAGATTCACTGTAAAACATTCAGGGTTAAAACAGCTGAACATCTGAGAACTGGTTCAGTTAATGCAACACACCTGCAGAGTTCATGATCTGAATCCAGCCTTTGTTACCTGAAAAAAGAAAAACACACTGTATATAGGACTTTATACAGTATGTTTCCCCTATCACTAACTTCAGTGAAGACACCTTTGCAGCTGTATCTTCTGTCCCTAATCACCTCAACAGCTGCAATAAAATTCAAATGTCAAACTATATAAGCAGCAATCTTCGTTAACACAATCAGTACCAATGACCATCACATTAGATTAACTGTAAAAATGCATTGGTTTCCGATCAGAGTGACCCCTGACAGAAGAGATAAAACACCAGGATTAATCAAGTCTGGCTGTTAGCCTGGTCTGGAGCAGGCTTGCTGCACAGAATAAATCTCTATGCTAACTTATGTGCCACTGCTTTTGCAAAACCAAATTACAGCTAAATTCATCCAGGATGACTGGAAAACCCCGGGTTCGTCTGCTATTTAGGCTTTGTGAAAGCACTCACATAGACAGGCAACAACAAACTCAGTAGAAGATTTAACGGTGAAGTGTTTATGAGTGACAGGCTGATCTGAAGCAGGAAGCAGGTCAACATGTGAAAAAAGAAACTGACTGAGACACAGTGGTTGTCAGACACAGACATGCTGATTTTGACTGACACAGGGACAGGTAAACCATTAGACAGGTGAACGGACACAGAAAACCAGCAGGTACCTCCGTGTTTGTGTTAACACTGAGGAGCAGAACACAAGGTACGTCAGTGACTCGGTAGTTTTTGAACAGTTTGTGTTCCTCTGTGTAATTCTTCAGTTTCTGGTTGTTAAAGCAGATTTTCTGTCGCTGCTGTTCAAAACAAACATCTGGACTGTAAATCAAAACTTAAACCTCGAGTCTGCTCACGTGTGCCTGGATTGTGAAATCAATAGGTCATAGTTTCAGACTGATCTTGTTAATGTTCTTGTTGTTACATTCCCATTCGCTTGGTTTAGTTTCGCTTGTTTGATTTTTTTCGACTGACTTTTATTTACTGTTTTCTAGTAAGATTGATCAGGTTCAGTCTGATTCTGCTTACACATAGAGCAAATTGCACATTTGACCATTTCCTCTGCAGTCATATGATCTAATTGGTTAGAAGCTCTGACTGGTCACTGCAGCTGACATCAGTAATTGCTTGTTTAAAGTGACGTCCTCTGTCCTGACAGGTGATGAATACATTCATAAATAAAGATCCTATGAGTTAATGTACAGAACAGACAGCAGGAGAGCAATATGTTTGTTTTTAATTGTGATTGGCCGTGTTTTCTTCCTTTACCTGGTTTCACCTTTTCACCTTCAGTTGGGTGGTTTAGGTGCTGCTACGAGACAATGATGTTGGCTAACTGATCCAATGAATATCTCCTCCTGTCCTCCAGATGTCCTGTCCTTCACCTCCTTCTCCTCCACCTGTCCCGAAGCCTCGAACTTGTTACATGAGGGACAGTCCGAGCTCTGCCTCCTCTTTGGACAGGTCAGGTCACCTTTAAATCTGTAGAATAAACCTTTAAATGTATGGACCATACAATTAAATATAAGAAATGAATGATAAACTATATGGAACAAGCCTTTAGCTCCGCACACAAACAAAAACAGCTGATTGGATGTAACCAAACAACTTGAACTTAACTCTTAATAAGTTCTGCAAAAATATCTTGTGTTTGTGTTTCAGAGACATGACTGGTGAAAACCTGCAGCCAGTTTCCTGTGATGGGGTTCACATGAGCACAGGTACACACACACACAGTGACATCAGCAGGACTGTTCCACCTGTCAATGCTGATGTCATCACCTGATAATGATGATGAGCTCAGTTTCCTGAAAACACCTGAAGCCCACTGATGCCATGATGTTTCACTGTGAGAGGTTGTGGCAGCTGCTGTAACAGCGGTCGGTTTGTGACGTAGACAGTGAACAGTACATCAGAAACAGTCTGGCTCCAGCACAAAGCCTGAACTGAACAGCAGCTCTTTATCTTCTGTTCTTTCCTTGTTACGTTTGAACTGGGATCAGACTAAAAGCTGTGAGTGCAGATTTACTACTGCAGTTTGAGTAAATGAACCCTGAAGCTGACAGCGGCAGAAACAGCTTCACGCTCTCAGTCCCGACATGTTGCAACGTGTCAGTGTGAACAGTCAAACCGGTTTGTCCCAGCAGGCTAAAACATTGTTCATGCAGCTGATGATGCTGATTTTAGGAAACAGCTGACTGGCGAGTGAAACCGGTTTGTCTCCTGATGAGGATGACATCAGCTGCAGACTAAGCATCCCATCATGAGTTTCTCCAGTCAGTCAGAGTTGACACATCATTCAGCAGCACAGATCTGAACTTTGTGAACAGCTTTAATGTTTATAAGAGTGTGAATCAACACAGATTCACGTACCTGTCTAATTCTGACTCTGCTGTTTACCACACGGTCACCCCATAGGAGCTATGGGGTGACCATCAGCCTCAGCACAGACAAACCATTGTGTGAGGCTACAAAATATTCTGGTGAGTTCCATTATTTCTCTATAAGCACGTTAAACTCCCCCTACTTCAAATTATTTGTCTTTGGTTTCACTTCATTCAAAAACAGCCTGAGTGTCTCTAAGTGCCTATATTATTGTATTGTACAGTATTCAGTATAAAACCAGTGTGTAGTGTCTTTTTGTGACTGATGACACAAACATTCTGCCAGTATACACACAACTCAAGTCATATCTCTCTCTCATCCTTAACTACTTAATGGAACTTTTATTCTGAAAGTCTCCCCACACTCTGGCTAGAAGCAAGTCTTTGATCATAACAGGACTGGTATTGTGGAAGTTTGTCTGGTGAACATCAGAAGAACTGCAGCAGAACACAGAGATGTCTCTTTGATTGACAGGTGACTCAGCTTATCACTTGGTGTCTAATGATGATGTCACTGTCTCTTCCTCTTCCTCAGGTGAAGATGACCATCCTCTACCT